ACGGGGGTCACTTACCTGCAAGAGAACGTGCAGATTCATTAAACGGGCCGGGGACTGGGGTGGGAGGGGTCTGCGAGCTCGGGCGGGGCCGCCCCCCCGCCCCCCGCCCCCCGCGGCGCGGCAGCTCCGAGAGCGGCCCTGGGCCGTGGCCACAGCGAGGACAGGGCGTGGCTGGAGCGGAGGGGCTGGCGGGCAGAGGGGGGCTGGCGGCCGGCACCGAGCATGGTGACAGAGGCCACGGGGCCACAAGCCTCCGGAAGCGACTGTCTGCCCTTTTGAGAAAAGAGCCACCGGCCCCACCGTCCACTGCGTGGCTGGCGGAACGGGACTCTGCTCAGAGCGGCGGCGCTGAGAGGGGGCGAGGCCTGAGGGGACGGAAGGAAGGAAGGGGGCACGCTGGGAGAGGTCAGGGTGGCCGCCCGGGCCGCTGCCGTCCAGCGTGTGCGAGGTGAGAGGGAGGAAGCGCCCCCCACTACCGAACTCTGGAAGGGGCTCCCCACTGTCCCACGGCCGCGAGAGCGCCCTCCCCCTCCCCGCACACGGGCCAGACAAGTGGTTTCTCCGTAACCTGGGGCAGTGAACTGGGGCTGTCGGGGCCACTGCTGCGAACCGCCCTGCCTTCTCTCCTGCCCCCTCCCGGGCCCAGGGGGTCGCTCAGGCTGGGAGCACAGGGTCCTTGTGCCCAGGACAGACGCGCTGACCGAGTGTCCCAGGTCGGCCTGGCTACCCGACAGGTGGTGGCGTCAGAGGGAGAGAGCTCTAGAGGGCAGATGGCAGACACGAGGCCCCTGGGCCGAACCCGGCCCCCCACCTTGTGTTATCCGCCCGGCACCTGGTTTCTGCCCGGCGGCAGCACCGAGCTCCTTGCCCCTAGTCAAGGAGCAGTTACACGTACACACAGTCCGAAAGTCACACTCGGCCCTTTGAAGGCCACCGCGAGGCTGATGTGGCCCCCGGTAACAAGGAGTTCGACCCCCTGCTGCAGAGAGTAAGGGCCAGGCGCCGCCCCGCCCTCCGTCTGGCTCTGGCTCCTCCCGCCGGCCCTGCCGCCAGGCTCAGCCCAGGACCCAGCACCCTCTGCCCGGGAGACGCTGCCCGCCCCGGCCCCCGCCGTCCGCCTCAGGGCAGAAGGGCGAGGAGCACGGGCAGCCCGCCCCAGGCGCCGTGCGTGCAGGCCCACGCCCTCTGCGGACTCGCGGGTCTCCATGCCGCTGGCTGACCCGGCACGTCACCAGCTCTCTCAGACTGGACGAGGGGCTGCCCACCTCGCCCGGTCGGCCCTGTGCCCCAGTCGGACACCACGTGGGTCCTGTCCCGTCCCCAAGCCCCGGCCACACCCCGCCAGCAGCACCACGTGCTCCCGAGTCCCCGCACGGCACAGAGGGCCTGGCCGGCACAGTGCTCCGCCGGACCTGGGAGCTCGGCCACTTTGACTGGGGCGGGGTCTCCCGTGACAAGGCCAGGGAGCCCGGCCCCCTCCAGAAACAGGGTGCGCTCCTCCAGCTCCCCCCGGGGGGCGCCATGTCCTCCTCGGGACAGCTGTCACTCGTCTGAGGGCTCCGTCCCCGCTGGGGAGGGACCCCGTGAAACCCCCGCGCCTGCTCTCAGCACCCCACACGCCACAGGCCTCCCTCCTGCACCGGGGTCGGCAAGAGGCCAGCTGGGGTGCGCAGTGCCCACTGGCCAGGGCCCCTGGCCCCCAGCACCCGGGAGCAGAGCACCCCAGACGCAACAGCTGGGAGGCAGGCACCTGCACTGGAGCCTGCGACGCCCGTCCCCGCAGGTGCTGGGTGTGAAGCCCCTTTTCTGAGTCACCTGCAGGCGTCAGAGGGGCAGCTGGCGGGGCTCCGAGGGGCGTCCCCGTGATGGGAGCGGTTTGTGGCCAGCTTTGGTCACGTCTGCCCCCACTAGGACCCAAACAGAGGGCGCCCCGCACCCCGCCCCCTGCACAAGCCTGTTTCCAGGGCATCGAAGGCAGGTGTGGGTTTGCCTCCTGGACAGAACCCGGTGGCAGCCTCTCGGAGCCGAGAGATGCTGGAGCAACGCTCTGCTTCCGCAAGGCCCCACCCCCTGGGCAAAGCAAAGTGCAGCACCCGCCGGCTGGCCCTGGGGTGGGGGGTCTGCGTCCACTCTGCAGGGGCAGGAGGAGGGAGCTGGTGTCTGGGCTCCAGGCCTCCCATTGCAAAGAAGAGCCCATGGGCGTCCACGGCTCCAACTGTGCTTGCGCTCCTTGCCATACTGGAAACAGAGGACACTGGACTCGGGGGGACGCCCGCAGCGCGGTGCCCGTCGGGAGCCCAGCGGACCTAAGTGTTCCTGCTGGACATCGGCTCCAAGGAGCAGTGCCCGTGCCGGGGCCCTGGGCGCCAGGCCGCCGCGGCAGCCGGGGAGGAAACCAGGGCCAGACTCCGCAGGAGGTGAGCCCAGGGCCTGAACACCCCGGAGGGAGAGGGCGGCCCCTCTGCCCCGCCGCCCAGGAAGACACGCGGCGGCCGGAGCAGGGCCCTCGGCTGCGCCCCAGCCCTGGCCGACAGGTGCGGGAGCTCCAGGCCGCATACACCCACCGGGTGCCAGAGAGCAGGGAGCCCAGCTCTCTGGGACCCTGCAGTTCAGGGCCAGTCTCGGCACCTCGCCCTGAGGACAGGCCGGGGCGGAGGGCAGTGGAGCCCAGACCTCACCTGGGGAAGCCGCCAGGGTGCCATTGGCCTGGCCTGAGGGGCCACCTGCTCCCTCCCAGGCTCCACCGCCCAAGGGCAGAAAGGCTGGCCGGGCAAAGGTTCTGCAGGTTACCAGGAAATGCCGAGGGCAGGGGGTGGGGTGGGCGCTACTGTTGGGGGGGGGGGAGGCTGGGCAGCACCCTGGGGCCGCGGCTCAGAGGGAAAGGGGCCCACAAGGCGGAGCAGGCTCGCGGATGCCTCTCCCACCCGCCCGGAGCCCGGGACACCGCGGGGCCCGCCCGCCCCCGCACCGATGGGACCTGAGGAAACGAACGGGGGCCACGAGAGCGCGTTCCGACGAGATCGGGCCCGGGAACACACGGGTTCTATCTGTTCTGATGCACCGGTTTCTGGCAGGACGCAGAGCCCTACTTGGGTATTTGAAAGGACTGAAACAGGCTTAAAAAATCCCCAAACAGCAATAAAAAAAAAAAAACGACCTCAATCACAAGCTTAAAAAACAATTAAAAAAAAAGTTAAACGCCGCTCCCCCAGAAGGAAAGGGGAAAAATTGGACTGACATAAAACCCTTTTCTGCTTCTTTTAAATATTGTTTTGAACAGCTTCAAAAGTAACGAATTGTGCGTGCAGCTAAGAATAGATCGGGGCGCTGGGTGGCGGCCTGGGAGCCGCTCAGCAGCAGGCTGTCAATATTTTTCGGGGCTGTCAGAGATCCATTTAGTGATTTCTGACAATTCAAAAAATATCTCTGGCTGCTTGATCCAGTTCCCGATGAATTAGGGAAGGACAGGGAGAAAGAAATGTATCAATTTAAGTCATGAACCGAGTCCAGCTTCCCGAATCCCACTGTGCGCGGGAGCGTCAGCACTCGGAGGCCGAAAAACACTCCCTGTCCCCCTCCTCCCTCCTTCCTCCCTCCTTCCTTCTCTGCCTCCCTTCCTCCTTCCTTCCTCCCTTCCTCCTTCCTCCCTCCTTCCTTCCTCCCTCCCTGTCTCCCTTCCTCCTTCCTTCCTCCCTCCTTCCTCCTTCCCTGCCTCCCTTCCTCCTTCCTCCTCCTCCCTCCTTCCTTCCTCCTTCCCTCCTTCCTCCTTCCTCCCTCCCTTCCTCCTTCCCTGCCTCCCTTCCTCCTTCCTCCTCCTCCCTCCTTCCTCCCTCCTTCCTCCCTCCCTGTCTCCCTTCCTCCCTCCTTCCTCCCTCCCTGTCCCCCTCCTCCTTCCTTCTCTGCCTCCTTCCTCCCTCATTCCTTCCCCCTCCCTTCCTTCCTTCCTTCCTCCCTTCAATCTTCCTTCCTTCCTCCCTCCCTCTCTTCTTCCTTCCCGCCCTCCCTCCATTCCTTCCTTCCTTTGTTCAACAAGTGAAGCCAGTCATAGAAGTCCATGCACAGGTCAAAAGGTCAAAGGTGGAAGCGACCACTAGCATCTGCCTCCCGCAAGAGGCTCTGGGGCTGAGCTTCTGTTCAGAGAGAAGCTTCCAGAAGACCATCTGAGTGCCGAGAGATCGACTCCAACGCTCCCCACACCCGCCTCACATTCCCCTGAGCCAGCTCCAGGCCGCATTCAGGTGGCCGTCCCTTTCCGAGACCGGGGGCCCCTCGGGGTAGCCCTGCCCTTCCAGGAGGGGAGACGGGCTGCCCCGGGCGGGCAGGCGGGGGCCTGAGACACACAGGGTCACCAGCCCGGCCCCCGGAGCGGCGCGAGGCACGCTTCTCTTCAGAACGACAGACCCTCAGATGGGAAGGACAGACGGACAGAGGGCAGCAGCAGGACAGAAGGCCAGAGCCGCAGCTGCTGCCGGGGGTGTGTCTAAGGACAGTCCCAAGCACCCCGCCCACGCCTCCCCGAACGGGAGAGGGGCCCCCACCTCCGGCGCGGGGTGGGCCACAGGGCCACAGCGGCCCCTGCGGCCACGGGCGAAGGGCGCAGCGCAGCCAACGTGGCTCAGCAAAGCGGTCAACGGGGTCAGCGGTGAGGCACCTCACGCGTACGTTCAAAGTCCCGAGAAGTTTGCAAGTTACCATGCCTGTCTCTCCTTTCGTCCTCTCAAGTGTCTTTCCCCTTCGGGACACGGATCAGCCGCGGGAGCCGCGCCCACGGCCGGACGCCAGCCCGTTCCACCGCGGCGCCGGCGCTCCAGGCCGCGCCCCGGACCTCGAGGGCGCGAGCCCGCCCTCCCGCTGAACCCGCTGAACCGTGGCCGTCCACACGGCACACGGAGCCCGCCGGGCCCCGGCCCGTTCGGTTCACAGTCTGCTCACGTTTTTCTAAAACACGCACCCTTGGCCCTGAGGTTCGGGGAAACGAGGAAGAGGAGGCTGGGACTTACCGCACAGGTCGGGCCTCTTGACGCCCCCGGGGCTGGCCGAGCTGCCGGCGAGTCCGTTGAAGGCGGCCAGGCCGTCGGCGCTGTAGGCCCGCAGCACCGACAGCACGCTCGCCGGCTTCTCCAGGCCCGGCGGCCCCCGCTCCGGCCTGGGCAGGCCCGCCACGGCGTCCTGGGCTGGCAGGAGGCCCGGGCTGTGCCACGGCTTCTCCGACGCCGGGGGCAGGGCGGGCGCCGGTCCCTGCACCGGCTGCGGGGCACCCGAGGGCAGCAGGCCGTCCACTCCGTCGCCGTCACCGTCACCGTCGCCACCGTCCTTGCCGAGGGCGGAGGGTGGCTTCCTCCCCGTTTCCGGCTCCGTCTCGGTCTCCTCGCCGTCGTCCATCGCCCCCTCGGGGGAGTCCGCATCCCTGGAAGAGGCCTCGTCGTCAGAGAGGTCATCCCCCTCGGCCTTGTCCGTGGTGTCGGGGATCAGGATCGGGGCGTCGTCTTCCGCGTGGGCCTTGCCCTCGGGCCCCTTGCTGGGGCAGGCGCCGGGGGCCCCCAGGCCCGCCGCGCCCGGGTACACGCCGAACTGCTTGTAGAAGTCAGACGGGAAGCTGCAGAAGGCGGGGTCCACGGGGCCGGGCCACGCTCCGGGCTTCTGCTCCCCCGGAGCCTCGCGGGCCGGTCCCTGCACCGCCTTCTCCGGCGCGGCGTCCAGGGGCCCCATCACGCCGGCCAGCGCCGTCTCCTTGCCGGCCTGCACCGAGGGCAGCAGGGCCGCCCTGCAGGGCTCCCGCAGGTGCTCCGAGCAGGGCGCGGCCGCCCCCGCCGCGGGGTCCTTGCGCTTCGCCCTGCCCAGGTGGTTGGCCTGCAGGTGCAGGGCCATGAGCTCCGTGGAGGACGTGGTGAAGGCGCAGAACAGGCAGCCGTGCCACGCGACGCTGTCCCGCACCGTCAGCTGGGAGCCGGGGAGCGCGGCAGCCTCGGGCCGCACCGACAGGTCCAGGGGCTCGTACTGGGACTTCTCCGACTTCCGCGCGGCCGGCCTCCTGCCGCCGTGGTCCTCGCCGCCGTCCGCCCCGTGGGCTTTTGCAGAGGAGGGCGGGTCGGAGGGGCCTTTGTCCTTCGCGTCCTTGTCCCTCTTCAGGGAGCTGAGGACGAAGCTGTCCATGAAGGCCTGCAGGGACCCCTGGAAGCTCACGCCGTTGCTCACGACGCTGGGGTAGGCTCTTCCGACCTCGGAGAAGTGGCCGCCTTTGGGAGGGAGGTCGGCGCCCTTCAGCGGGTCTGGGGGGGCCTCCAAAGACGTGCCGGCGGCCTGCGGGTCCCCCGGCGAGAGCACGCCCGCCACCCAGGGCTGTGCGGCCGGCGCCCCCCGGAAGTCCACGCCGGGGAGGCCCTTGAAGGCGCCCCTCAGGATGTCGGGCCGGACGAACAGGGAGGCTTTGCTGGGCAGCTCGTCCCTGCGGTCCTGGCTGGGCGGCTGCCCGGACAGCGGCCCCGCCCCGTTGGGCCGCTCCCGGTGGTGGCGCTCCAGGTGGTACTTCAAGGAGGCGGACTGGGTGCCGGCGTAGTCGCAGTGTGGGCACTTGTAGGGCTTCTCACCTGCGGGGTTGGGAGAGGGAGAGAACAGACAGGGCTTAGCTCGCTCGGGTGTGCTGCGCGGGGCGGGGGCATCCACACTCGTTCTTGGAAACAAAGCAGCCCCAACTAATAATTAGTCGGAGAACAACTGCTCTTTAATAGAAGAATAATTCGCACTCTTAAGCCTTTTTAATGATTCCGTACCATCGGGGACTATTCAGGAATGACATACTATCTACACACAATTAGCTATCTCTTTCTTTATCTAACATGCGAAAACGACTATAGGTTTTAAAAGCTATGATTATGAAAATTAAGCATAATAATTTCAACCGCAGCGATCATTAAAAGTAGAAGTTTCAAAAGACGGAGCATGGAACAAATGGCTGGTCGCAATATTCCGTGTATACAATAGCTCTAAAATTTGTTTAAATTATACACATGGAAACCATTTTTAAACCTAAAAATTTTATGGCCTTGTTACGCAAGACTGCAATGAATGATTTAAGCCTTGCTCTGCGGTAAATCATGGATATAATTAGCAAATGGCACGCGGCACGAGCCATTCATCATTATTTGGAGGGTACCATTCCAGACGGGCTCGGATATCTGCAGGCCCGCTGCACTGTGTCCAAATACAGAGCTATAAATACCGATTCCATAAAATATTAACGCCATTACGGTGCATGATGACGGCAGCGTGCGAGGACATATAGTTAAGATAAAAAGCAGTCAATAAAACTTAAAAGAAAATGAGTAATAAAAAGGCACAAAAATATATTTAGTTTCTGTATTTGAAATTAACATTATCTACTGGTCTTTGTATCGCCTTAAATTTGTCCTAATGGCAAAGCTAATGCTCCGGTAGTAAAATGTGTAATTTACCTGTAATAAGCGCTTTCTAGAGAATAAAAATAGCTTTAAGGAGTGTTTTAGGACATATAAGATCATCTCCATGAATTAAATATTTATTTAAAGGGGGCACCCACTAGGCGCCGGCACCCGCCTCGTGGCCTGCTGCAGGTGGGGCGGAGGGGACAAGAGACGGCACTCGCTCCGACGCACAGACACCCCAGGAGCTCGGCGGCGGCCCGGGTCTGTCCCAGACGTGGGGATGGACAAGCTCTCCCTGGGGAAAGGCGGCGTGAGGGTCCCCGTCGGCCGCCCACAGGGCACCGGCAACGCCCATGGTGATTTCTCTGAGGGAGCTCCGTGTGTCCACCCTGCCCTCGTCCACGGCAAACCAGCCCAGGTCACGTCTCCCTGCGCCTGGGTGCAGCAGGAGCCGTGACTCCCGTGCTCCGGGTGTGGGCGTGTGGGGGTGACACCGTTGACGAGGGAGGGCGTGGTGTCCAGGAGCACCGGCAGCCCGGTGCCGAGCAGGGCGGCACGCCACTCCGGCTGGGCACCAGTCTCCCCCGTGTGGCACTGTGGCCCCTCACCCAGCAGCGGGCTCCTGGGCAGCGCGGAGGTGGCCTGGGGGGGCCTCTGAGCGGGCAGGCCCCTCCGGCCCTGGCTGGACCGCTGCTGTGGGCCTGGACAAGGGTGCTGTCCCTGGGTGTGAGGCCCACGCCCACGTCCCCACTGCCGTCTGGACACCTCGCCGGAGACCAGGACACGCTCCGTGGGACGGGCGCCGCAGACGGGCACTCGGGGAGGCCTGCAGCCGGTGGGCTGTTGGAACACGGCGGCCCCTGAGGCCGAGGGGGCGGTGGTGGGCTAGGGGACGGGAGAGCCAGACCAGGGACTCGGGGTTTGGCCCGTGGGAACCGGGGGGCTGGGGTGAGGCCTGCGGGCACCGGGAGAGATACAGGCTGCATTCCAGAGACACACCTGGGGCGGATTAGGTGTATCGGAGCCATCGATCACCTTGGGGTTTGCAGACGGCACCCAGGCCCTCGCTGGGGGGCTGCGGGGGAGGTGCGGATGGAGCCCGCAGGACTGGGTGGGGCCCCCGGGGGGGGACGGGCATGTTTCCAAGGGACACGCATCGGAAACGCACACGGGGCTGCAGTTCTCGAACCGGGCTGTGCACGGCTGTGCACGGCGGTGCATGAGGACTGCTGGGCGTGCGACCTCCCGCCCTGACGCCCTGGGTCTGGGGCGGTGGACCTCGGCCGGCACTCCACCCGCATCCCTGGCAGCTTGGAGGCAGGCGAGAAACAGCACACTCTGAAAACCCAACGTGGGGTTGCTTGAGGAGTTTTAAAAACAGCCGACACCTAATCCCACGTCCACCTCCAGAAATTCTGCTCGCTGGCCGGGCCTGCGACCTGGGCACTAGGGTCCCTCCCGCCCCAAGTGGCCCTCCCTGCGCCTGGGGGGAGGGGCCCCGGCAGAGCTCTCAGGGAAGGGCCTTCCGGGGCGCACAGCGGGCAGCCGGGAGGGGTGGGGCCCCTGACGTCTGCACCGGGGAGGCGCTGAGCACCTCCTCCCCGGCCACGCGGCAGGCAGGGGCTCCTGTGCTGGGAGGTTTCGGGCCAGCTCCAAACCCAGAGACGCCTGCTGTGCACACTCGTGTGCACACACCACACAACACACGCACGCACATGCATGCACGCCGACACCTGAGTCCCCAGCGGGGGTCCAGGCCCTGGAGTGTCTTCACGGGTTAAGTCGCCGCATATAGACATGCAGGCTCCAGAGACCCCGCTGCCCCCTGTGCCTTCCACACGCCCCGCAGGCCCCGCCCCCGGCATGGTCAACGCCCCCCTGGCGCAGGCCCCGCCCCCGGCGCGGTCACCGCCGGCCCCCCCCTGCGCAGGCTCCGCCCCCGGCGCAGGCCCCGCCCCCGAGGGCAGGGAAGCAGGCCAGTAGGCCCGCTGCTCCCGGCACCCCGCTCCCCAGACCGGCGCCCTGCGAGCCGGACCGCCCCTTTCATTTGTGTGTGTTCAGACAAACCAACGCAAACCCTGGCCTTATTTTCTTCGTGAATCCTCAGGATTTGAACCACCGCCCAGCCCTCTGCCTGGAAGCCCCCCCGACTTCCTCTGAGGGTCCCAGTCCCAGCCTCGGGCTGGGGTGGGCACGCCCCCGTTAGGGTCTCCAGGAGGCCCGAGGGTCTCCTTCCCACTGGGCACGCCAGACTTTCCGCCCCGAGGGCACAGGCCTGCGTGGGGTGGGCGTGGGGCCGGCGGGCGTGCGGGGCCAGCGGTCCAGGCCTGCTCTTCCGTTCTGTGTTCACCCACACCCGAGTGCACCTGTGCTGCTGAGAGCCGCTCCGGCGAGCGTCGGCCATCGGGCCCAATGCCCGCGGCCCCAGGCAGGGCTGGCTTCCGACGCCCGGGGCCACCCAGCCCCCGCCCAGCAGCCTTGTGGCGCTGGCGGCCCCAGGCCCTGGCAGCAGCTCTGTCTACCTGAGCGATTGGTCAGTGAGGCCATAAATGAGTCCAGACCTTCAAGGGGCCCACTCGGGCTGCCCCGAGCTCTCCCGGGGGTCACCCCAGGATGTTTGCGACGCTGCCTCTGCCTGTGCCCCTTGTAGGAGCCTCACACTCCGGGCCCTTCAGAGCCGGGCTGGTCGGGGGCTGCGAGAAACAGCAGGCCGGGGACCCAGGGCCCCTCCCACAGGGTGGCAGCCACTCAGGCCCAGCCAGCAGCGGACATAGGGACCGCTGACGTGCCGGCAAGGGCCACACTCCGGATTTCTTCCTGCGACTCCTTCTCTGAAATAGCGGCACCACCAACACTCCTCCCCAGACGCGAGGGGGCCGCAACCCCCACTGCGCAGCCCGAAGACAGGGCCCAGACCCGCCGGCCCTCGAGCCTGGGTCCAGGGAAGGACAGCCAGCGCGAACACGGCCGGACCTCCCCCAGCCTTTGTGGGGAGGGGCTCGTGGCCGCAAGGAGGCTGTTCTGGAGGGGGGCTGCGCTGGAGAAGACACGCTGGGCATGCAGCAGCTCTTTGCTGCGACGGAAAAGAAACCGTCGGAACCGCCTTACGGGAGACACAGCTTCTGCGGACGGAGCGGCACACGGAACCTGCGACTTGGGACAAGTCCCGGGAGCGTCTCCTAGCCCCTAGATGAGGCAGCGCTGGAAACCCGCGGCCAGCCGGCCACCCCGGCTCACAGCACCTGCGGTCAGACACCCGTCAGGGCCGTCCCGGCACTGAGCCACCCCCCTCCCCATGCACGCACTCAGCCCAAGGAACTGTCACATTCCGGGGGCCACTGGGGCACCCCCGGCAGCGAGCGCCCCAAACCCCTGCCCGGCGGGCACCGGTCTCCTCGGAAACCCCTTCCTCGAGCTTCAGGAGGCCGCGTGATCCCGGCGTGGCGCCCTCGTCCCGCGGTTTGTTTTGCTCACTCTCCGAGAGCGTTTCCCGCCGCACGGCCAGCCGCCGCACACGGGGGGCCCTTGTGTTGGCGGCATCCGTTTGGGATTTATCCCGCCGTCCTCCGCGTCCCCGCTCGGCCGACACCGGGAGAGATGGATACGGGAGGCCTCCGCGGCGGAGCGCCAGTCCATAAATATAAATCGCATGCTAATGCCCCCAAAGCATATATACGTTATAAACCTGAGCACTCCTCACACAGCTGCGCGCTGCTAAACAGGGCCTTGTCCAGAAGGGGGACAATCTGTGTCTCTAATTGCTGTCACGGAAGCCGAGATTCATTATGTGACTTCCCCATTAAAATGTGAGCATTAATTTGTATAATGAAATATCGCCCACTGCAGTGTTCATTAGCCATGCCCTACTGTATACCGCACGTTGTTAGCTACCTAGAAACTGGAGTTAATTTCGCTAATGGATATTTCCCTACTTAGTGTTTGGTCGGAAATTTATACTGTAACGTTACCTCTTCAACTTTTAAGGAAATTTAAACTCAATCAATTATTTTCCACAAAAGTTTGGGATGTCATTAAGGCACCGAGAGAGGGAAGGGGGACGTGGAGGGAGAAAAGGGGGTTTTAGTTCATCACGGGGACACGGGAGCGACGGAATGTTGGTTCAAAGCGAAAAGGAAAAGCAGCATCGTCTCCTCTCGGGCACGTGGCTGTTTTTTTCCTTTTTTTGTAGCCGTCGCGGGGCCGGACCTCACGAAGACCAGCACGCTTTTGGAAGAGAAGATGGCAGCCGCTCGTGGGGGGCCAACCCGACCTGGAAGATGGCGTCACTGCGCGCTTCCACACGAGGAGGCGGCCTGACCCCTCCCTCCCCTGGGAGAGGAACTGCCAAGGTAAGGCCAGAGCGCCCGGGCAGGGCCGGGGAGCCTGCCTTTCCACCCACATCCACCCCGGTCGGGGCGGAGGAGGCTCTTCGGGGACGGCAGGGGCATGAGGGGCAGTGCCTGCCGCCCAGCCGGCTCCGCACTGGGGCTCCCGGCTCGGCCTCCCCCGGCCCGCCCAGTGCTGGTGGGGAAACTGAGGCCGCGGGGGTCCGCACTCGGACTTAGGAGGAGGCCGGTGCATCCACACACCCGTGGGCACCAGTCCCTTCCTTTCCTCCGGCCGGGTACGGCGGGGCAGGGAGCCCGTGCTGTCAGAAAAGGGGCATGTCATCCCCCAAAAGAAGCCGGAGACCCACCCAGAGAAGAAAAAGCAACAATGTGAGGATTAAAGGAATCCGAGACCCAACTGGCAAACCTGGACGGGGACCCACCGTCAGGGCTGGGACATGCACTGGGGACCTGCGGGCTCAGTTCCCTCCCCTGCGCCCGGCAGGTGGCACCCGGCACCTGGTCGCAGGTGCTGCGAGTCCAAGGAGGGAGCTCACTGCAGGTGCACGCTGAACAGGGTGCGGGGGGTGGGGGCGGGCGGACTGTCCTCCCTGTCCTCCTGGGCCGAGCTGCTGAGGTTGGCCGGCAGCCACCAGGCTGAGTGGACAGGGCAGTGGGTGTGAGGAGAGATGACCCCCCCGGGGCCCTCTGCCCTGCCGGGCACACAGCCCGTTGGGGTGCAGGGGAAAAGGCCTCTGCCTCCCCCTTCCCAAGGTCCTACCAGGTCGGAGGACGGGGGCCTCCTGACCAGCGTGCAGGCGAGAGCCCGGAGGGCACCCCTGCGCCCCCAGACGGCTCAGTGAAGACCTGTCCCCCGGCCCACCCTGAGGCCCCAGAAACCACCGCTGGCTGCTCAGTGCAAATCCATGGTTGTCCCTAGTTCCGCAGACTCGGAAACCAGCGCCAAACAGGAGAGGGGAAAACCTGACGCGATTTATCTATTCGTGTTTGTTTATCCTCACCCGGGGACATGCTCATTGATTTGGGGGTGGGGGAGAGGGAGAGAAGCATCGATCGGGTGTCTCTCACACACATTCTGACCAGGACTGAACCTGCAACCCAGGCACGTGCCCTGGCCAGGGGTGGAACCGTGACCTTTCAGTTTGTGGAGCGATACTCCAACCGGCTGAGCCGCACTGGCCAGGGCAAGACTCATTGTTAATAAGTCCCCTCCTTCCGCAGCCACGCTGAGTGGCTCTGGGTTCGAGTCCTGACATCTTCTCCAGAGGACAAAGGGCACACACGTCCAGGGACCGGGCCCTGCGCAGCCCAAGATGACGTTTCCATCGGGAGGGCAGCTCAGGCCCCGCGGGGGGGGGGGGGCGGGGGGGAGCGCAGGGGCCGGCGGGGGGCCGCTCCCGGGGCCCAGGGTTCTCTGGGCCCCCCCAGTGTCACATGGAGCCGGCGGGGCCCAGGGGACAGAGAACCACCCCAGAGGCAGCTCCGCACACCCGTCTGGCAAACAGGCACGGGGGGGGGGGGGGAGAGAAGCAACTGAGTCAGGGAGGGAGGAGCAGGGGCAGTTTCCGCCAGTCCCCTGACGCCACGTGACCGAGACTTCTCGTCAGGACGGGCGGGTCCCCTCCCACCCGCAGGGGACGCCCCGAGTGGCCGGTGTGCTCCTGCGGGTCTGCGGGAGGAAGGCTCTGGAAGACGGCACTTTGGGAAGCAGGCCTTCTCCGCCACGGACGCCCGTCCTCGGCCCCGCTGCCTTGAGAGGCAGGAGGTGCACGGGGCGGGGGCCACCCCTCTGTGGGCCCCCAGGAGCCCGTCACTGACGAGCGCCTCGCTTAGACTCTCAGGGCTGGCGGCACCGACACTCCCCCGCCGCCGTCACGGTGGACGTCCCCGCCCCGGCCCACCGTGCACACATGCGCACACTGGCTGCCGCTCCGCGGGCCTCCGGGCACAGGGAGTGGGCCCTCGTCTGCTCGCCGCCCCGCCGCCCTCCAACCGGCGCAGGGACAGGCGGCTTCCGGGGACAGGCGGAAGGGGGGGTGGGGCGGGGGTCTCCCTGGCGCCCTGCCTTGTGCTCCCCACTCAGGGAAGTTTCCAGAATGTTCAGTCTACGGCCCCGTCCTGCTTCTGTCAGGGTCCCCAGGACAAGTGGCCCTGAACTTCAGAAGTTTATGAAGCAGAAAAAACAGAAGTTTGGAAAGACCATCCTTCTCAGTCTTTAAAACTTTACAACACGTTCAAGTTACGCATTTGCTTCCGCCCACGTTCAGAAGGACTCCTGGTGGCCTCAGTCCTCACCCTCCGGAACGTTCCGTGGGGTGTTTCTCTTACTTGTGGGCCAGCCGTGGGGGTCGGGGCCCACAGGGTGGGCAGGGCTCCTGGCTGGGAGGCCCGGTCCCTTCCCCTCCTGGCCCACAGTCCCAGGGGGCTGGGGCCACCTTGGTGTCCTCCTCTGATGGAAGGACAGTGTCGCAGGCCACACGGCCAAGCCTCCACCCTGTGGCAGCCCCATGGTGGGCGCCCCAGGAGACGGCACCTCGTCCTGGCGACCGCAGACCCCGCACACCCACCACCACGTCCCCGGGAGCCGGGCCCCCGCATGGGAGGGTGGGGGACAGCTGAGGGCAGTGAGCCCTGGCACCCGCTGGGCAGGGCCCCACAGGCCCGGGGAGGTCCTGGCAGACCCCACGTGGCCCCGGGAGAGCAGGGACAAGCTCCAGGACAGGAGGGCCAGTGCCCACGGCCCCCGATCCCCGGTGCTGACGATGAGGCAGCCCTGCCCGGGGCACCTCTGCGGGTCACGGAGGTTCGGGCAGCAGGTCAGGGTGCAGACGAGGGGCGTCTCCCACGTCACCGGGGGCTGCGGTGCACGAGGCCCGCACCCGAGAACGCCCCGCACGGCCCCAGCTGCGTGGACTCCCCGGGAGGTCGGCGGAGCTGTGTGTGAGAGCGGCCGGCAGATCCGTCCGGCCCCTGACGCGGCTCGCACTACAGCGGAGAGCGAGCGCGTCGGGAGGAAGAAACAAGGACAGCGGAGGCGTCCATCTCCGACAGACTCCCGTTTCCTCCTGGCGCCATCCAGACGACGAGAAGAGCAGAGCCACGGCCGAGGGACCCTGCAGGGTCGCGCAGGGGAGCGCTCGCCGCCAGGGCCGGGAGGACGCCGGAGCCTGGCCAGCGGCCGCAGCCCCCGTTTGGTGGAGGACGCGGCGATTTCCGTCTGGGGAGACCGGGGGACAGCCGCCCGCCCGCCCACCCTCCACAACCTGCATCTGGCCCTTCCCAGGGTCGGCCTGGAGCCCTGGCTGGGTGACGGCTGGGCGACGTCGGGGCGGGGGTGGGGGTGGTGTCCCCGGTCACAGGTCAGCTGGGCCGCCGTCACTCCGCACCTGGAAAACTGGCCAGCGCGGGGCGTGGACGCGCCCCTCCGTGCAGCAGACAGGGGCCGTCAGCCCAGTGTCCTGGAACCTCGGACCGCCCGGGCCCGGACCCACGGCCGCGTGCCCCTCAGGAGGTGGAGGACCGACCCGGGGCCCTGGGGTCGGTTCGGACGCACCCAGGCCCGGAGACCGTGAGTGTGAGAGGCGGATGCGGCAGGCTCCCGGGACGGGCGGGCGCCCCGGGCCCCTCGGAGCCGAGCCCCCGCGTGCGTGCGCATGCCGGCCGCTCACCTGTGTGTATCCTCAGGTGCACCTTGAGGTGGTGGGACGTCCTGAAGGTCTTCCCACAGTACGGGCAGTCCTTCACGGCCGAGCCCAGGCTCCGGTCCCGCAGCAGCGTGGGCTGCTGGCCGCCCGCCGGTCTCCCGGCCTCGTCGCCGACGTCTGCAGCGGGGGAAACGTTCGCACGTCACTTCAGCACATGTCACGGGATGTTCGCGCCGAAGCTGCGAACGCCACACAAAGCTAAACATGTCAATACCACACCTGCCTGCTTCCTTCTCCCGATCTGACAGAATGCTGACAATTCATGTATTTTCTTGTTATTCTCTAAAATTATTTCATCTTTCCCCTCATCGTCTTAAGCGGCATATGGTACCTTTATATCGAACTGAATTAAACAAGAGAAGAAACAGCTGTGTCAGCAGCTGGTTTGATTTCTTCTTTTGCTTAGCTCCTATTAAATATGTGTTTTTTTTTCCAAAAGTTTTAAAGCGGTGGTGTTGGTTGCCTCTGATTAATCTGCGCCACGGCCGCACGGCGGAGCTTGCCGTGGAGCGAAATCACATCCGCGCCGCACGCAGCAGGCGCCAAGCGGGGGAGAGAGCGCGTCTCCGCCGAGTCCCCGAGATGTGCAGACGCAGAGCTATTTTGGGACAGGAAGGAAAATTATCCCGGGCGCAGCCTCTCGTCCTCGTCGCCGCGGAGCTGCACCCGCCGCTCGCCGCCGCTCTCCGGGGGAAGGGAGAGGAGCCGTCTGGAGACGGGGGCCCGCAATTAGCCGCAGTAAACACAGAGACGCAGCCGGAGTCACGTGGAGACGCTCAGCTGCACGCCGACACCGCGCGCCCGGGGCGCGGAGACCGGAGGACCCCGTCTGCGGAGCATCTCGGGGCGAGTGTCCTGCCGTTGCTGCTGTGTCGCCCGAGCCGTGAGAGGACGGGGCGAACTTTCCTCGCGGCCGCCCTCTGCGTGGGAGCGAGGGGACACGGCGGTGCATACCACCGTGGAAACACCGAGGGCTCGCAGGACACGCCACTGCGACCCCCGTGGCCAGCCAGGCAGCGGCGGCCGCGCACGGGGCTGGGGGCGCCGCGTCCCCCGGGGGGCTGGGGCGGCGGGGGCTGTGGCCGAGGGCCTGCACCGACCCCGGGTCCCCGCGGAGGCCGGCCGGTCCTGGCTCCCCACAGCCTCGGCTGCCCTTGGGGACCCGCGGTAGCTCCGTGGGGAGAAGAAGGGGACCTTCTGGGCCCGTGACAGACCTGCGGGCGCTGCAGAGGGCAGGGTAAACGCAGTCGGCACCTTGCAGGCAGCGGGAAACACGAATTGCTTTCCTTCTGCAGGACCCGTGCTGGTGGTCGCTGCTCAGAGCTGCGAGGGGTGGGCGCAGGGGCCAGGCGCGGGACCAGGGCGAGCACGCTCCACTCTCCTCCGGACGTGAGCGCGGCCCGGTGGGGACGCTGGGCTCGGAGGCCCCGCCCCCGTTCGGACCGCGCCCAGTGCCCTGTGGCCCTGGGGGAGCTCGGCCCCTCCTCTCCCCGCTCCTCGAACCGCCCCGAGGGGGCAGTGCCGCGGGTCTAACTGCCCGAGCGCTCCCCACTCCCTGGAACTCTCCCCCAGCCCCCCCCCCACGAGCTCCGGGTCTGTGGTCACCCCGTGATGTGGGAAGGCTGCCGGCAACGGTCACCGGTGGCAGTGAGCAGGCCCGAGAGAGTGCGTGCCCACCTGCGGTCACAGCGGGGCACTGTGCGCCCACTCCCACCCCAGGCTGAGGCCTCCAGGGGCTGCGTCCACCTCCACCCCAAAGAGCCAGTTTCTGGGAGCCCAGGAGAGCGATGACCACACGCCGAGCCGCGTCACCCATGGGCCGGGTCTAAACAGCCGGAACGCCCCTCCCGCCGGCCCCTCCCGCCGGCCGCCCCGACACCCTGAGCGCTGGCACCGGCCTCCCCGCCGCGCCCAGATCCGGAGGTGGGTGGGACCCTGAGGCCAGCCTGAAACCACGGGGAACCCGGGGGTACCCGCAGACACGTTCAAGTGAGCCAGTGGCTGGCCGCTCTTGGTTCAACTGGACGCAGAGCCGGTGCCCCGGCTGCCGCCGCAGCAGCGCGGTGGACGGGCCTGTCCCTGCGGGTCCTCGCGCTCCATCCACGTGCACACGGGGGCCGCTCCCCGCCCTCCGCCCACCCAGCCCCCGGGGACGCCAGCAGGAACGGCGTGGAGCCAGGCACAGGGAGTGGGGGACGTGCTCCCGCTGCGGCCCCTGGGGACCCCCGCCTGGGGCATGTCCCGGTCAGCGCTCGGCCAGGCCCGAGCCTCGGGCCAGCCCACCGACGGCCATGCCTGACCACAGCGGCTCCAAGGGACAGAGCGGGGCCAGTCCCGTTCATTTCTCCGTCTTGGATACATGTGTGGCCCCACGAAGAGAATACATCCGCAAGATAAACAGCTTTCTTTGCAGACTTAAGAATCCAATTTTCGCTTTACACAGAAACGGTTTTTCTTGGAGGGCCGGGAGGCCCGTGGCGTTTGCTCTCAGACTAAATCCAACTAGAAAAACAAACTCGGGGCGACGATGAAGGGCACGGTGGGTGGTCCCGGGAAGTGTCCAGAGGGGCTGCCAGCCAAGAGCAGTGACGGCCAGGGCCGCCCGGCCGGGCCGGGTGCCGGGACCCCGGGCGCCGCACGGCGCAGCCCCGCCCAGCACCGGGGCACTCGCTCAGACGGCCAGACGCGCCCTGGCCCCCCGCCCACCCGAGTGCAGGCGCCGACAGCGGTCCTTCTGCGTGCGGGTCACCCAGGACGGGCCCAAGGCCCCACCCGCCGCCCCACGCCCCAGCCAGGGGGGCCAGAAAGGAAGAGAAGGGGGAGCTGTCCCATCTGTGCTCCCCGGTCAGGCCGTTTGTGGGGGGGTCTGGGCTTTGTAAGAAGTGTCCTTTCCCACAACTCGATTCCCCCTCCCCTCAGACACGTGCGGCCTGCGAGAGTTCTGGGGCGGAGGGGGACCCACGGACGGATGGACGGAGCTCCCCTCTGCTCCTCCATGCTCACCTGTATGGAAGGAAGGCCCCGCCAGCCCCCGCAGGCCCCAGTGGGGCCACCTGGCCGCAGGCTGGCAGCCGCCTCCTGGCCCACCTGCCTCAGCCAGGTGCGCGGACCTCACCTGACGTGCAGGGAGATGCCTTCCCTGAGACCCTGTTTTTTCTCTCGACCCTGCTGACCCGTGGGGGACCCACCCCTCAGGCACAGAGTCCCGTGTAGGCGAATAACGCTCCAGACGGAGCTGGCCGACCGGGCCGCCGTCCCCGAGGTCCGGCCTGGAGCAGGGGGCCTCCACCGGGCACCCGGAGCCCAGCAAGCGTGCCTGCCCCCCCGGCTGGGCGTCTCTGCTGCAGAGAAGGCGGGCTGTCGTTTAGGGCTGGGTCTCAGGACCGTGCTCCTCGGGGGTGACATCAGAGGACTGGCATTGCTCACTGTGTCACCTCGGGGTCAGAAACCAGGCCCCCTGTCCTCCATCCGCTTGTTCCAACACCCGAGTGGACGGCAATGCTGGCCCACTCCCCGGCGACAGTACCTGCATGACCTCCCGTAGGTGGTCGGCGGGAGGGTGGGGGGCTGCCACCATGGGGGGGGCGGCTGAGGCAGAGCCGAGGACTGAACGTCCGTGGGTCATGTGAGAACCGCCATGGTCACCTGTCCTGGGCACTTCCAGAGACAGGCAGGCCCAGACCCACGGGGACCATCAGCCGCGTCTGCCGGCCCCGGGCCCCGAGACTGGCTCTGCTGCTGCTGCTGCTGCAGCTGCGTGGGGACACGGGCGTCTCCTGACACCCTCACCCAGACTCCGCGTGTCTGAGCCGCAGAACCGTGGCTGATAACATAATTCCACGTTGTGAAGATGAACTGATAAACGTCCCCCAGGGTGTCTGTGAGCACGGAGCTTCCTGGGCGCACATTTCAGAGCAGGCCTGCTTGCCGCGAGGTGCTGGGCGTGCCCCGCCTGCATCCCCGGGGCCTGCTGTCCCGAGGCCGGCCCCTTCCCCACCCCCCCCGGGGCTCCGCCCGGCTGCACTGTCCCCACCACGGCCTCTCTCAGCCCCTCACCCACCCGCCCTTGCCCCTCCTGCCTCACTGAGGAGACAGGAAGGGTCTCCGAAGATGGGAGAGAGGGGTTGGTGAGGGCTCCCGGAACCCCAAGTGTCCCTGCTCGTCCCAACTTCCTCTGCGCTGAGCTGAGACCACGTGACCGGCCCTGGCTGGCGGCGGGAGGCAACGTCGAGGAGAGGCCGTGCCACCGCCCGCCCCTCTTCCTGGCCAGGGCCACCTTGCTGCCCAGGGCTCCAGGGCGGAACCCCACACGGGAGGCCTCCGGGGTCACGCAGTCACGGGGGGACAGCAGCCGAGCCCGCCCCGCTCTGCGGGGATGAGGGGAAACCCCTTGGTTCTGCTCAACCGGGGAGGCTGGTGAGCTGCCACCGTGGGGGCACAGGCGCTGGGCGAGGGGGCCCGGCCTCTCCGGGTGAGGGCGCCCTGCTCACCCACAGAGCGGCTCGGAGGACGAGGGCCGGCGGGGGGACCCCGGGGGGGAGAGAGCAGAGGGGGCGCGCGTGAGATTGGGCGCAGACCGCCAGCGCTCCCTCACCTGGCCGGGCAGCCCGGCCCCGCTCACGCCCGGAGGTGCGTCTGAGGAAGATTTCCATCGAAGACAGTGACAGTGAGGACGGTGGTGGTGTGGATGGCGATGGTGGTGATGGTGGTGGTGATGATGGTGATGGTGATGGTGGTGATGAAGATGGTGGTAGTGGTGGTGATGGTGATGGTGGTGATGGTGACAATGTTGATGTGATGGTAATGGTGGTGGTGATGATGATGGTGATGATGATGGTGATGAAGATGATGGTGATGATAGTGGTGGTGATGAAGATGGTGGTAGTGGTGGTGATGGTGATGGTGGTGATGAAGATGGTGGTGGTGATGATGGTGGTGGTGATGAAGATGGTGGTGGTGGTGGTGATGATGATGGTGATGAAAATGATGGTGATGGTGATGATAGTGGTGGTGGTGGTGATGATGATGGTGATGGTGGTGGTGATGGTGATGGTGGTGATGGTGACAATGTTGATGTGATGGTAATGGTGGTGATGATGATGATGGTGATGATGATG